TGGGAGTCCAGAACTAATCAAGAAAGTTGTCCTCTGACCTCAACATGAGTGCTGTAGCATACACATATCTACATTCACACCCCTCCACACACAAAATAATAATAATAATAATAATAATAATAATAATAATAATGATAATGATAACAATAGGGGCTGGAGAGATGGCTCAACTGTTAAGAGCACTGACTGCTCTTGCAGAGGACCCAGGTTTGATTCCCAACACCCACATGGTCCCAGCACCCACATGACAGCTACGAACTGTACTTAACTCCAGTTCCAGGGGAGAATCCAAAGCTCTTCTGACCTCTGCGGCACTGCACGACACAGGCGCACTCATATACATGCAGGCAATACACTCATACACATAGAATAAAAAAAATAAAATATATTTAAATAATAATAATAAAGGAAAAAAAGACATTTAAAAATAAACAAATAGGCTGGAGAGGTGATTCAATGGTTAAGTGCACTTACTCCTCTTACAGAGGACCTGGGTTTGGTTCCAAGTACCTATATGGTGGCTCACAGCCACCTCTTAACTCTAGTTTCAGGGGTTTCAATGCCCTCTTTTGGCCTTGTGGGCACTGCACAAATGTGGTATACATGCATACATGCAGCCAAAAAACTCATTAGAAAAATTTAGCCAGACTTGATGGTACACACCTTTAATCCCAGCACTTGGAAGACAGAGGTAAGTATAGCCCTGTGAGATCAAGGCCAACCTGGTCTACATATGAGTTTCAGTCCAGCTGGGGATATAGGGAGAACTTGTCTCAAAAAGAACAAAAATAAAAATAAATAAATAAGGGAGCTGGAGAGGCAGTTTAGCATCCATGTTGGGTGGCTCACAACCACTTGCAACTCCAGCTTCAGGGGCTTCACCACCCTCTTTTGGCCTCCAAAGGCACCTGTACACAGGTGGCATTCACTCACACAGATACATATACACATAAACAAACATAAATCTTAAAACATGGATTTATTGTTTGTTTTTGTTGGTTTTTTTGAGACAGGGTGTCTCTGTAGCCCTGACTGGCATGGAACTCCCTATGTAGACCATGCTGGCCTTAATCTCACAGAGATCAGTGTGTCTCTGCCTCCCAAGTTCTGCAATTAAAGGTGTATGCCATCACACCTGGCAGGATTTATTATTTGGAGTTATTGTTATTGTTAGCATGTTAAGATTTTCTTTAACAGGCTGGCTGTGATGGCTTACACCTGTAATCCTTGCACTTAGGAGATTGCCGCAGGGATTGCCTAGAGTTCAAGGCCAACCTGGCCTACAGAATGAGACTCTCTCAAAAAACAAAAACAAAAACAAAAACAAAAAACCTTAAGGGTCCCAGCACTCACACTTGAGAGGCAGAGGGAGGCCAGCCAAGTCTACATAATGAGTTCCAGGCCAGTTGGACTATGTAGTAAGACCTTGTCTCAAAAAGAAAGTAAGGAAAAAAGTAAGGGGTTGGCCACATAGCTCAGTGGGTAAAGGAGATTGCCACCCAGTCTGATAACCTGAGCTCAATCCCTGGGTCCTGCATGGTAAAAGGAGAGAACTGCTCTTAATTCAAAAGTTGCCCTCTGGGGGCTGGAGAGATGGCTCAGTGGTTAAGAACATTGACTGTTCTTACAGAAGACCTGGGTTCAAATCCCAGCACCCACATGGCAGCTAACAACTGTCTGTAACTCCAGTTCCAGGGGATCCAACAGCCTCTTCCATCTTCTGCGGGCATTGCACAACATGGGTGCACTTACTTAAATGCAGGCAATACACGCATACACATAAAATAAATTTTAAAAAATTTTTTTGTCTTTTGAGACCAGGGTCTTTCTGTAGCCCCAGCTGTCCTGGAATTCACTATGTAGACCAGGCTAGCCTTGAACTCACAGAGATCAGCCTGCCTCTGCCTCCCGAGTGCTGGGATTAAAGGTGTGTGCCACCACACCAGGCTAAAATGAAATAAATTTTTTTAAAAAGTTGTCCTCAGCTGGGCATGGTGGCGCATGCCTGTAGTCCCAGCGCTTGGGAGTCAGAGGCAGGCAGATCTTTGTGAGTTCAAGGCCAGCCTGGTCTACATAGTGAGTTTCAGGACAACTGGGGCTACAAGGAGACCCTACTTCAAAAAGACAAAAAAAAAGTTGTCCTCTGACCTCCACACACAAGTCGTGGCACATGAACACACACAATAAATAAATTAATAAACAAACAAATAAATAAATAATGTTTTTGAAAACATTTAAAAGGCTGGGGATATAGCTCAGTTTGTTGAGTGCTTGCTCTGAGTTCCATCCTCAGCAATGAATAAGCCTGTGCCTGTAGTCTCAGTGCTCAGGAAGTAAACAGGAGGATACAGGGTTAAGGTTATTTGAGACTACAGAGCAAGTTTCAGGTCAGCATGGGACACATTACAGAAATAAATAACAAGCCTGGTGTGGTGGTGCATGCCTTTAATCCCAGCACTCAGGAGGCAGAGGCAGGCTGATTTCTATGAGATTGAGGCCAGCACGGTCTACATAGTGAGTTCCAGGCCAGCTGGGGCTACAGGGAGACCCTGTCTCAAAAAGCTAAAATAATAATAATAGCAAAAGTAGACTATTAAGTGGAATTCAGTATACTTAATTTACCACTGTGAATTTTAAACATTTTTATCACCTGCAATACAATGCCACTGGCAGTCACTACTAGTTTTTTAAAATTTGTGTGTTTGTGTGTATACATGTGCCACAGCAAACGAGCAGCCATGTGGTATGGAGGTCAGAGAACCATTATGTGTTTTTTTTTTTGTCCTTTTGAAGCAGGGTCTCCCTGTAGCCCCAGGTGTCCTGGAACTCACTATGTAGACCAGTCTGGCCTTGAACTCACAGAGATCCGCCTGCCTCTGCCTCCCAAGTGCTGGGACTACAGGCGTGCGCCACCAAGCCCGGTTCTATTATGTGTTTTTTTTTAAAAAAAGGTTATTTAGCCAGGCGTGGTGGCGCACACGTTTAATCCCAGCACTTGGGAGGCAGAGGCAGGCGGATCTCTGTGAGTTCAAGGCCAGACTGGTCTACATAGTGAGTTCCAGGACAGCTGGGGCTGCAGGGAGACCCTGTCTCAAAAAGACCAAAAAAAAAAAAAGGTTATTTTTATTTATTTGTGCCTCGTGACTTTATGTGTACCACCTGAATGTAGACGCCTACAGTGACCTGGGGGCTTCAGATCTCCTGGAATTGGAGTTACAGGCAGTTGTGAGCACCCTAATGTGGGTGCTGGGAACTGAATCCAGGACCTCTGTGAGAGTAGTAAACACTATTTAACCACTGGGCCACCTCTTCAGCTCCCCATATACAGTTATTTATTTATTTACTTATGTATATTTTATGTGTATATGTGTTTTGCCTGTATGGCTGTAAGTGTATTCATATCCTGCAATGCCTGAGGAGGCCAGATAGGGCATCAGATCCCCTGGAACTGGAATTACAGATGGTTGTTAGCTGTCATGTGGACACTGAGAATCAAATCTAGGTCTTCTGTAAGAGCACTAAGCACTCTTAACCACTGAGCCATCCTCCAGCAGCCCTACATAGTTCTTAATCAATATATATACATATTGAGAAATATAGATTTTATATATATATATATGTATATATATAATGTACATTTCTTTTTTTAAAGATAGACTCTCACTATGCAGTCCTAGCTGCCTGGAACTAGCTGTGAAGATCAGGCCAGCATCCAACTTATGGCAACCCTCCTGCCTCAGCCTTCCAAAGTGCTGAGTGCTGGGATTTGCAAGGCATGTGCCACCAGCCCTGAGCTTTATCACGTCTGATCTGGCATGTTACAACAGCCTTCTAGCTCCTAATCTTCAGTGCTGTCTTTGTTACTTCATGGCAAGAGGACAGCCAGCAGCACGAGCTTCCTAAATCAGGGCATTTATCTTTTAGCTAGACATCTTGGTCCATCCAACCTTTTTAACATTGCAACACAACTGTTAACTATCTATGATAGAACACTATCTATTCATGCTAGACAAATGTACACTCGAGTTTCAAAAAAAAATTAAACAAAAGATCCCAAAATATTTTAAGTTTACAATTTTTTTTTTTTTTTGTCTTTTTGAAGGAGGGTCTCCATGTAAGCCCCAGCTGTCCTGGAACTCACTATGTAGACCAGGCTAGCCTTGAACTCAGAGAGATCCGCCTGCCTCTGCTTCCCAAGTGCTGGGACTACAGGCGTGCGACATCACGCCCGGCAAGCTTACAATTTTTATGGGGAGAAGCATTTACAGCTATCTTGGACCACAGGTTGGATATGCCTGCGTGGATTCCAGAAAACAAGCATCCACAAGCACAAAGTACAGTCCACATCTTGTCAGGTGTTGTGGACAAAAATGGGTTACTACTTTTTTTTTTTTTTTTTTCAGAGCTGAGGACCGAACCCAGGGCCTTGCGCTTGTTAGGCAAGCGCTCTACCACTGAGCTAAATCCCCAACCCCGGGTTACTACTTTTAGAGTTCTTTATCAGCACGGTGTCTGGGCTGGGTTCCCTCTAGAACGGCTTCTATATCATTCCACCCTCGTCTCTCACTTTCCCAACTTTCACGGACGACCAACCTCCTGGCAGGTGGCTGCAAACCAGGCAGTTCCTGGGACTCAAGCCTTGACTCTTAACCCACTCGCTCGCACAGAGCTGGAATTCACAGGTTTGTAGAATGAAACACATTCTACGATGCCACAGCCTCTCGCCCCACAGAGTCGGTATCGACCGCCTCATCTTCGCGGGAATGACTTTACGAGACCGCACTTCTGCAACAAAAAGAAGTAAGATTTAAGAGACCCCTAGGCGCCAGGACAGACCATCTCGCAATTCACACTTGCGCAAACAGATCTGCGAGCCTGCCGGCCGCGCTTCCGCTCTGGCTGTCAGACAGGCTGACTTCCGGGTACCGCTAGGGGCTTCGGCCCCGCCCCCGAACCCTGGCTCCGCCCCCGTCAAGCGCCTGTGCCCCGCCCCTCAGCTTGGTCCCGTCCCTACGCCCGTCGTGACGGAAGCGCGTCGGGGTGACCTCACCCGTCCAACATGGCGGCGGCGGTAGATTAGGGCCGCGGGCCGAAGCAGCCGCCGCCTCTCCGGGACCCTGTGGGAAGCACCTGCCGCTGCCGCCGCCGCTTCTTTCTTCTCCAAGGGCAGGGGCCAGGGCCAGGTGAGGGGATTGGGGTTACAGGCAGGCCGAGCTGGGTAGGGGCGGTTTGCACCCGCTGAGGAAGGGGGTCCAAAGACTACCCAGCCGATCGCCCGGTGCTTCCCACGACGCGGGAGAGACCCGGCGTGAGGTAGGAGGGAAGGAGTACCGCGCCGAGGTGTCCGAACTTCTAGGGTGCGTTTCGGTCCGGTAGTGCTCCCGCGGCGGGCGCTAGTTGAAGCCGGCTTTCCCCGGAGTGGCTGCCAGGGGCGCATGGACTCAACCCTTGCTCTACATTCGGTTCTTCACACGGACCTGCGCTTGGAAAACCCGGGTCCATTTTGGGGGCTAAGCCTGGAAACGTGAATTCTTTTGGGGGTGAGGACAGTACATACGATTCCCTTAAAATGATCGTAGACTAGCTTTGCTACCTGATTCTTGTCACAGATGGTTGAAGTACTGTCCAAATCCACTGCAGTTTTGACACCCGTTCCTCCCCTCCCCAAAAAACACCAAACCTAGACTTCTTGGGCAATACCGTTTTCATTACTTCATCATTTCCTTTGATTTTTATCCTCCCAACAGTATCATGAGATCCCAAGTTTCTTGACTTCATTTTACCACTGTGAATTGTGAAGTGTGTCTTCTAAGGGGTAAAAATGGGAAGGATTTGCACAGAAATTCATATGCTCTTGACGGATAGCCCTAAGTTCTTAGCCGCCACACCCCAGCCCAAGTGTTTATCTAAAAGATCAATTTTACTATGTTTAGAAGTTTTGAACTATCCTGATAGACCCCTTTTCTATTAGGTTTTTTTTTTTTTTTTTTTTTTTTTTTTTTTTTTTTTTTTTTTAAAAAAAAAAAGAGGAGGCTTGGCATAACCAGAATGTTGGTTTCTGCCCTGACTTGTGTGACCTTAGATGAGTAGCCACACCCTTGAGATACTTTTCCCCCTTTTTAACACCCTAGAAAATTAAGCAAGTATGGGGGTAATGAACAACTTATATTTCATATGTACAACTGAATTAATGTATCCTGCATGTTTGTACCAGTGAATTGAAAGTATTTAAGTCATTTTTTGACATTTTATAGTAGACTGGTAAGGTCTTTGCAAATCCTTTTGCTCTGATAATCAAATAGTATTCTAACTAGTCTAGTTTTGTTTTTCAGATGGCTTATAGTCTTAGTTCAAACTGACTTTGAATTTTGAATCTCAAGTACAGGAACCCAGGAAGGAGTGTCCAACTACACCTAGCTTAAAAAAAATCATTATTGTGGGTATGGGTGGGTGGGGGATTGCACATGTGAGGCGATATAGGTCAGAGGACACCTTTTGGAGTTGGTTCTCTCCTTCCACCTTTATGTGGGTTCTAGGCATCAAACTCAGCTCATCCTGCCTGAGGGCAAATGCTTTTACCAAATCTCAGTGGCCCTTGTTTTTGAGACAGGGTCTCAGTCCATGGCCCATCCTAGCTTGGAAATCACTCTGTAGCCCAGGCTGGCCTTGAACTTTTGGCAGTCCTACATTGACCTCTCTAGTGCTGGGGTTCTAGTGGATTCAGGTGGCCTGTATCTTATGTTCAGGTGTGTACCCTAGAAGCTGAATTCAACTGAAGAATGTGTAAGATTGAGTCCAGTCAATTTTTTTTAAAAAAATTACCATTCTTTGACAAATGTGTACATGTGTATAGTGTAGTCATTTCCCCCCCCAAATTACCCTCTCTCATTCTCCCACTCTCACTGAACCTTCTCCCATTTGTAAAACAACAAAAAAATGAAGCTGGAAGTGAGACCTTGTCTAAACAAAAAACAAGAAAAAGTGCTCACTAGCACTTTTTTTTTAAATTTAAAGAGGCAGTCTCATGTACTTCAGGCTTGTTGAGAATGTGGAAATTAGAGGACAACTTGCAGGAGTCTATGAATCTGCTTCCACCATGTGGGTTCTGGGGAATCTAACTTCGGTTGTCAGGCTTGGCAGCAAGTACCTTTACCAGAGAGCCAGCTTGTTGCCCTCCCCAAAGACATTTTTTTTTTTTTTTTCTGAAACAGGGTCTCCCTGTAGCCCCAGCTGGCTTGGAACTCAGTATGTAGACCAGGCTGGCCTTGAATTCACAGAGATATGCCTGCCTCTGCCTCCCAAGTGCACCACCACGCCTTACCCCAAAGAAATTTTTAAAAATATTTTATTTATTTATGGGCTGGAGAAATGGCTCAGTGGTTAAGAACACTGACTGGTCTTGCAGAAGACCTGGGTTCGAATCCCAGCACCCACATGGCAGCTAACAACTGTCCGTACGTAACTCCAGTTCCAGGGGATCTGACAGCCTCTTCTGTCCTCTGAGGGCATTGCATGACAAGGTGTACTTACATGCAGGCATAACATTCATACACATAAAAATAATAAAATATTTTTTAAAAGAAGAAGGCGTTGGATACCCTGGAACTGGAGTTACGGAAGGTTGTTAGCTGCCATGTGGGTGCTGGAAACTGAACCCAGGTCCTCTGCAAGAACAGCCAATACTCTTAACTGCTGAACCATCTCTCCATCCCCACAAAGAAATTTTTGAGATATATTTTTCTTAAGGAAATATTTTAGACAGAAAATTGAAAACAGCTAATATTTTCATTAGCTTTTATCGGTATTCATACATGATTTTAAGTCATGTCTTATTCCAAATAAGTGAAATTATCACCAAGAATTTCTTAGACAGGGTCTCCCTATATAGTCCCAGTCTGGTCTTAGACAGTGAACCTCCTCCCTTAGCCTCCCAAGCACTGGGATTACAAGCCTACACCACTGGAACTTGACTTGAGCAATGTTTTCAGATAGTTGAGGTTTTGTTGTGCTGGGGAATCAAATCCACTGTCTTGCATGCTGAGTCCCACTGGGATATGTCTCAGCCCCTTCTGTTGTTTACTTTGCTTTTATTGTGCTGAGAGTGAATCTAGGGCTCAGGCTTGTATGTACTCTACCACTGAGCTACACCTCTAGCCCAATGGTACTTGAATTTCTGTTGTTGGGTGCTGTTTCTGTTTTTGTTTTTGGAGGCAGGTTCTCACACTGTATCCCAGGCCAGCCTGGAATTCACTAGTCAGGTCTGGCTTCAAACTGATGGTAGTACTGATTCAGCCTTGTGGAGTGTGGGATTATAGGTGTATACTACTAGCCCAGCTTTATTGAAATGTAATTAATGTATCATAGTTGCCTCACAGTTGTGTAATATAATGATTTTTCAGTACATCCACAGAGCTGTGCAACCATCACGGCAGTTTTTATCACTTCTGATGATACACAGGTAGATAGATAAATATATGCTTTTTTTTTTTTCTTTTTCCCCTGAGACAGGATCTCACTATGTAGCCCTGGCTAGCCTGGAACTTGCTTGAAGACTCTGCTGGCCTCCAACTCACAGAGCTCTGTCTGCCTCTGCCTCCTGTGCTTGGCAGCCTTCATCACTTCTGGACTACAAGAAACCCCATACTGCTCATCAGTCATTCTTTCATATTTGAGACAAGGTAGCCTAGGCTTGAACTCGAGATACATCTGCTTCAGCCCCAGTGCTGGGATTTCAGGTGTCTGTTCCATGCCTGGCAGCAGCCATTTTTCATTTCTGTTCCTTTCTCTTCTCCCATACACCTATGATGATGATGATGATGATGCTCCTCCTCCTCCCTGTTCCTCCTCCTTCCTCTTCTTTCTCCTCCTCTTCCTTTTCTTCCTCCCTCTTCATCTTCTAAGGCAGGTACTTATTCTGTACCCTAGGTTAGCTCTGAGCTCTCAGCAGTCCTTCTAACTCAGCCTCCCAAATACTGAGATTACAGGGGTGAGTGACCACCCCTGACTAAAAGCCACATGATATTCTAATGTATGGACATACCACATTTTCAGGAACTCTTTCTTGTCTTTTCTTCTACATCTCCTTCCTTTTCTTTTTTGTTTTTGAGGGGAGGCAGATTTGAGATAAGGTCTCACTCTAGCCTCAAATTGACCTACCTGCTTTTTTCTCCCCCATAGTGCTGGTGGTCAACCATGCCCAGCCAGTATTTTTGTTTCTGAGACAATGTTTTGAATTTGCTTCAGGTGACCCTCCACCTCAGCTTCCCAAAGTATTGATAGCTGAGGCTCACAGCACTTCATCTAGCTTACGTGACTTTTTTCACTCAAAGCAGTTAAAATTTGTTTCATATTTGGCTGTTACATATAAAGCCGCCTTGAGCATTCATGTCCAATTTTTGTGTGTAGACATGTTTATACTTCTCTAGCATGTACCTAGAAGTTGAACAATATGTATATCTAAATTTTGTTTTTGTTTTCTACCAGCTATCTACACAGCTATGGAAGCTTGAAATTCTTATTGTGAAAGTCAGAGTCTATGTACAAGGGGGAGGAATTCCCCTGTGAGTGCATTATCTGTGAATGCCAACTGCTAACTAAAAATATTTGGGGACAGTTCTTCACACAGGATTCAACTAGAGTGTTCAGTTAGGCATGTTCTAATTGGAAAGGGACAATCGACACTGGGATAGTAATGTCTGCTGAACTTCAAAATTGACATCTCATTCAGTTGAAATTCAGCCAAATGGGATAGTCTTGCAATTTTACAGTTTTTATTAGGATGTTATTGTATGTGTGGATCTGCGTGCATGTGTGTGTACATATGCCTATGGAGGCCAGAGGTCAACTTGTTTGTTTAGTGTGCGTGCATGTGTGTACACATTCATGTGGATTTTGAGGATTCAAACCTAGGTCTTCACATAGCAACCACTTTTACCCATTTCCCCAGCCCCTGCTTTTTATAATCTTTAATTTTATTTTATGTGTGTGAGTGTTTAGCTTGCATGTGTGTAAGTGCACTTATGTTGTGCAGTGGCTGTGGAGGCCAGAAGAGGGCATCAGGTCCCCTGGAATTGGAATTAAGGATAGTTGTTAGCCACAGCATGGATGCTGGGAACCCAACCCAGGTCCTCTGGAAGACCAGCAGTACTCTAAACTGCTGACCCGTCTCTCTAGCCCCCATGCC